CCCATGAGTGACCAAGACAGAATTTCTCCTTACAATATCAACCAGACAAGAGATGAGAATGAAGAAAATATCGATCAGGGACTATTAGTTAATTCAATACCAAATTCTCTGACCTAACATTATAAGAGGTAATTTAGTGTTAACAACTGGGTTGAAAACGTAAATTAGCCACCGTAAAGGCTAAAAAAGCTGACGTTTCGAGCGTTAGCCCTTCATCAGAGCGATCAATCGCTCTGACGAAGGGCTAACGCTCGAAACAACCCAGTTTTCAACCCAGTTGTTAACACTAAATTACCTGCTATACTCTCCCACCGACGCAGCACCACAGTTTCTTTAGAAACTTACCCCTTTTAACATTATAAGAGTTGTATAGCAGAGTAAAGAGAATTACTAACAAGATCTTGGAAATGAAAGGTTAATGGTATTGAAATTTAGCTCAAGGACTGGATTTACCACTAAGCTTAAAAAAGAGAAAAACAAAACCAAAATTTTGCAATGATGACAGCTACACATGAACAAAAATTAAGAAAAGAAAACACTTTATGAAAATGAATAAATGATCCATGTCATCCAGGAGGAGTTCACTGATGTAAATAGTGTTTGGAATATATATATATTTTATACTTTATGTTTCTCATGTAAAAATGTACAAAACTTTGTAAAACAAATAAAAGAGGTTTAATGTATCAAAAGATACCTAGCAATGTCATAGTGTTCCATACAAGCTACATTTTTTAGTATCAAAGTATTTAGTAGCACAAGCCCATTCACCATATGAATTTCAAAAACTATCAGTTTTGCCACAAAAACAAAAGCTACACTACCATTATTTCTGTATAAAAAGTTCAATAAATGCAACACAATGAGAACCCATGAAAACTCTTCCTTTGCCTGTGTTATTAATACATAATTATGTACAGTGTGGTATCCATAAACACTTTGAAGACCTCTTGTTAGATAAATCTGAAAGGTTCACTCAAAATCTTGATTGATTGATTGATTGATGTCTCCCTTGTACTGAACAATAACTCCAAAGGCAATGAAAACTGAGAGAAATGTTCAGCTTTATCAACTGACAAGACCTGTAGAAAGGTAAGGTGATAAATATCAGTAGGCTTTCTTGATCAAAGGAGCAACATTTCACTTAGAATCTTGACCACATGAAGACATTTTTGCCAACACCATTATTTATTCCATAACAACACAGATTATTTATATGGGGCTCAAGAAAAAGACAACAACACTTACCAAGATAATCATCCATCAGTGAACCAATAGCAAACTGAAAATCAAAACAGCCAGACATTACTTTTAAAGAAATTAGAGAACTTTCTAAGGACATTACTGTACACATAATGATGGTTTTACAATTCCTTCCAAAGCAAGAGGCATTTCAAGTCCTCCCCTTGAGAGCCACAAGATAACCACATCGGAATTAAAAATTTTCCTGCACAATTTACCACTGGTTCATGTGCACTCCAAGGGGTTCACAAGGGCACATTTAACCCATAAAAGTGATGAACATCTAATTTCTCCTGACAGTATCATCCCTGAATCATACATTTAGGCCATGAGAATAAAGGAAATGATCACAAACTCAAGAAGGTCTTGACTGTTAGACAAGTTCTACTTGCTAGTTCCAAAGAAGACAGTATGAAGAAGTAGCAAATTGATGTAAAGAAGTTGAGGCTTAAAGAACAACGATCTACTAAACACATGGAATCACAGAACTTACAATATCATTAGCGTCAACCCTGGTTCCTACTATTCTGAGACGAATTTCATCATCCTGTTGAATCACATTGTCCTATGAACAGAAATGAGCTGTTGTGGCAAATTTCAAGCTTTAACCATACAAAAAGAATTACTTAAAGATATCAACTTTTAATTGACCATTCAATCATTCAAAAACTTGTTTACTTAGCCATCAACAATGTACAACTATTTCTTCAGATCCAAATAAGTAAAAGGTGTTTGAGTCTTCTGTCATGATCAAGATAACCCTTTAACTCCCACGTATGACCAAGATAGAATTTCTCCTTACAATATTGATACAATATCATGCAGACAAGTGATGAGAATAAGGAAAAGTTTAAATGAGGGGATTATTAGTTGATCCTATACCAAATTCTCTAATTTCCATCATAACAGTTGTATGGCAGATGGTAAGGAAATTACTCATGAAAGGCAGTGAGAGGGTTAACCCACAAGTAACATTTAGCAAGAGGGGGTTCTGACAATTTTCTTTCCCTGTTCAGTAGTACACCTGACTTGCTGTTTCACATGTTCAATATAATTACATTACCATTACATGTAATACACTGTTTTCAGTTACAACTGACACAAACAAACAAGTTCCAGTAAACTTTCAACACCATACCTCATCTCTTGTTTTATAACATGGTGGGTTAGAGTTTGGATCAAAATCCATATCTGATGGGATTGACTTAAAAGCAAATATATATAAATACTAGTCAGACAGTAGCATACAAATAAAAACACCAACATTTTCATGCCTCAAAGTATAAATCAAGCTACCATAGAAGGAGGGTACATTTCTGAAGAAACTGTGACAGAACAAGGTAATGGGTATTATCAACTAAGTTGATAAAGTAAATTGGCCACCGTCAAGAGTTTCAAAGCTGAGGTTTTGAGCATTAGCCCTGCATCATTCGCTCTGACAAACAGCCAACCCCACCAAACGTCAGGTTTGAAACTCTTAGCAGTGGCCAATTTATGTTATCAACTCAGTTGATAATACCCAATTACTTTATCCTGGAAGGGGTCTGAGGAGAAGAGGAATTGAATGCTGTAAATGACTATCATTCCAACAAAGTTGAATGGCCACCAAAACTAAGAATTTAACAAATTACACTCAACAAAATAAGTCTGTACTTGAGCCTAGTGGCCCAGCCAGCCAGAACTTATCCCAGTTTCCCTGTAGCATGAAGTGACTAGGAGTATCACAACTCCCCCCTGGATGGGATGCTTGTCCATTGCAAGGTTACCCACCCTCCCCAAGCATTTCAAAGGGCTTTCTTGACAGTTAGCCATTCATACTCCTGGTTGAAGAAAAGCTCCATAAGAGTAAAATGTTTTGCCCAGGAACACAACACAATGACCTGGACAGGTTTTCAACCCAGACCAAGTCAATCACTTTGTTAAGCACACTTTAACAGCTTCTATTCCTGGAGTGTCAGCTGAAATAGCATTTGTCAATTAACATTTCTGATTCATTCTTTTATTACTGCGCTAAGTTAAAACATGTACAAGGTTACCTTCCACAAAGCAGTCAATCTTGAAAAATACTTACATGGCGTGACACAAAGCATGAAAGAGGTCCTATCTCAGTGAACAACCCAACCTGAGATAAATATAGTGATGAGAATTTGTCACTGATCAGATCAGGGCCATTTAGAATAATTCAACCAATTGCAAGGAGAGATCAAAGGAAAGGATGATGGTTAAAGGACAAATTGTTGCAATCAATCATTTGATCATGGCTAAATTATATCGTAAAATTCTACTCCTACAAAGGGAAGGAAAAAAATGAGTGACTGGCCAAAAGAGAGTTCAGTGAAGGCACTGAACCCTTTACACCCTAACATGAGTAAAGTTATTCTCCATACTGTTCCCCATACATTCCCTAAGGTGCTGACTAGGAGAATTTGTGTAACAATCAACAGATTCTTTTGCTGCTGATAATTGTCTTTATTCTTGTGACCTTACTACATGATTCAGGGGTGATATTGTAAGGAGAAATTAGATGCTAGTCACTCTGACAGAGGTGACAATTTCTTTCACACTTTGCTGGAGATTTTCTACCTTGTTTACTTGCATGACTACAGCATCCAGAACTTCGCCTTTAAATGGTCTGAAAACAATAGCCTGTAAAAAAAAAAAAAACAATTTGTAACAACAAAGGGTAAATGAATCATTCATTGGAGTCCGTTTCCACTGAGCATTGAAAAGACACAAATAAAGTAATCAAAACAGAGAAAAATATTACCTGTTGTGGAATGAAAAAAGAAATGTACCATAACAGAAATGAACCCCTGCTAACCTTATATTTGACAGGATACACAACAAATCCACGTCCTGGTTGGATGTGACCAACTCCAATGTTGTCAATTGTGGTGACAGCTATGATAAAGCCATACCTTAAGAAGATAACAGTTCGGTAAAATTTCCGCACAGCCCCATACTATTGTAAAACAAATCTGTTTTCCCAATGGCAATGTATTGTTTTTGTCATTGTTTTCTCTATCTAAGAACTGAATGCATAATGAAGTATGGGGCCGCGCGGAAATTTCACCAATAGTTCCGCTAATACTTCAGTGGCTTATAGATAAAATTTACCGAATTATTTGCCCATCAATGTTGGGTACAAGCGGAGATGCTTTACTTATGAACTACAGTAACCGTCTAACTCTTGGACATCGAAATTTTTATGAAAATGGATACTGCATTTGAAGGAAAAAGCGTAGTTCCAGCGATATTTTTATGTTCTCAAATCTTATACTTCCACAAAGAGATAAAAAAAAGAAGAAAAGAAAAAATTAATTAACTGCTTACTTTCCGCTACAAGTTCCTTCGACCTCAGTGAACAATTTCTGCTTCA